CGCCTTGTATGGGAGACGGGACCAGTTGCCGGTAACACAGAAGTCGCATACGTCCGAAAAAGACACAAAGCAACAGAAACCCCGCCTTCCTGCACCCGCCAGCTGGGCTCTGCTCTAGGAAGGAGGCAATGGCAAACCACTTCCGAAACACCTTGCCGTGAAAACTGCAGGGACTCGTCCAGGCAGTCGCCACAGAATCAGTCACGACTGAGTGTGGATTTAAAAAAATCAACACCAAACTAAAGATATCCAGTGTTTGCTCAGCTTCGCCAATTATTATAGGATCTCACTGCACCTTTGACCTGCCTGTTGCACAAGAAAACACCATTTGCTTGGAATGAGGATGTACAACAAGTTTTTGAAGCTCTAAAGATGGCTTTTGCATCAGAACCATCCTCCAGCATCCAGACCCCATGCAACCATTTATTGTGGAAACTGATGCTTCAGACATGGCCTTAGGGGCGGTGTTACTACAAGCCAGCCACCATTCATCTAACTTGTTCCCATGTGCTTACTACTCATGGAAACTCATACCAGCTGAGCAGAATTACACCAACCGGGATAAGGAACTCCTTGCAATTGAGGTGGCTTTTGAAATGTGGCAAAAAAAGTATCAGTAAAATTTGCAACCACCTCTCTGTGTGTTTGTGTGTGCGTGGCCTGAGACAGGACACCTACCAATAACTGCCCATGCTGCGACATTCTGGGTAAACTGCAGTGTCCAAGTGGCCTTTACGGATAGCCCCATGTAGAGTGGATTGTAATAGTCTATCTATGAGGTGACGAAGGCACAAAGGCTTCTTGGTCCAGGAATGGGCAACTTTGGGGCACAAGATTGAGTTATGCAAAGGCCTTCTTGGCCACAGATACCACCTGCTCATCCAGCAAAAGCTGAGAATCCAAAAAGATTGCTCACCAACCCTGAATGAGAAAATACAATCCCATTCAAGATCAAAAGTAGAAAGTTCCCTGAACCAGGTGCTCCATGAACTCACAACCAGTCAGTCTTGCTAAGCTGAACCTGACCCTTTTTCCTCTATCCGGACCCCAACAGCCTCCAGGCACTCAACAAGACCTTGTAAGCACCGCTTGGCCTGTCTAGGGTTGAGATATACAACTGAGTATCATCAGTATGCAATGGATGACTTCACTCAGCAGCTTTATGTAGCTGTTAATCAACAGGGCAAGAGCATCAAGCCCTGAAGCACCCCACAAAGTGGGAGCTTTGGACTTGGTCACCCCTCCCTCTCTCCAACACCAGCTAAAACTGGTCACAGGAAAAGGAAAAGACCACAATGTTGTGTTTCCCACTTCTTGAAGTCACTCCAGAAGGATACTGTGTTATTGAAAGAGGGCCTGGATAGCTATTGGGTAATAGCCGAGAACTATGGAATTTTCAGTCCCTATACATCTGTAGTCTGCAGGGGGGGAAAGCTGTTTCGGGGTTTTTAAATGTAGCTGGAGTTGTCCAATCATGTTTCTTTTATTGTTACCAAAATGCTGAAGAAGGTATAAGTGAACATATACACTGTAATTCTTGACTTTTGCGGGGAGGGCAAAAACCATTCCTGGTAATGCTAAGAAAACTCATCTTCATGCCATTTGTTAATTTATCATGGACAGTTTCTTTGGCATGTGAAGATTGCACTCCATATCCCTTTTCATTTTATATCCTATTTTCTCCAGTCTATTCCAGATAGTATGTCAGTCTTCACAAATTGTTGGTGCAGTTGCTGTGTTAGGACTTTAAAGGCATATGAAATGATTGATTTTTGCTGAGGTGCTGCAGAACCATGTAGTATATTTATATAGAAACAGTTTCCATAATTCATTTGCCAACCCCAATTTTTTTTTTCCTTAAGAGGGGAATAAATGGGGCCTCTTTCTCATTTCAAAATCCATAGTCCTCAAGGCTGGACAAGTTGTTGAATATCTGATACTAAATCTTGCACAAACATCAAACCCTAGAGCAAATATACAAGACCAGTTAAAGAACTATCTTCTAACCTGCTCACTTTATTTTTCTTATTTCATCTTACAGTAGAGAGGGATTGATTTACAAGTTAGAAGTCGCTGCATTTTATGTTTGAAACAGTTTTTCTCAACCTTGGTAACTCTAAGATGTGTGGACTTCAACTCCCAGAATTCAGGAGCATGGCTGGCTGGGAATTCTGGGAGTTGAAATCCAAACACCTTAGAGTTGCTAAGGCTGAGAAACACTGGTCTAAAAGCTGCTGCTGACCTGATGGTGTATAAGTTGATTAATTAGGAAATACTTACCTAGGCTATCCTGGTGATATGGAAGCCACCTCTTCTTGTCTGAATGCATTCCCAAAGTGATTAAATTGCTCAAACTTTGTTCTTATTAAAAAAAAAATTCCTCTCATGAAAGCATGTATGTCCTTCATTGTGTTCAGCAAGCTATATAATGAATTGCAACTCTTTCTCTTTTAACATGATTATGTCTCATTATAATCACCAGAAATTACAAATACTGTAGAACTTGAGGTTGTGGACATACATACTGCCAGCCCTAATTGCTACCTCCTGGGTTGGATTTAGAATGATATCAAAGTTTCAAATTGCTCCATACAAATTGCAGGGCACAGAGTAATTTCTCTTTATGTATAAGAATGTGAAATTAACTTATAGTATATTGAAATGTTGAATAGTTTCTACCACAACCTGAACATTCACAGAGATCTGTAAAATTCTATTTATTTCCAACATACCTAAAAAATGCAAATGGTCTTCTCAGATTTTTGCCCCATTTTTAATACTGCAATTCCATGCATGTTTGTTTAGACTTCCTATTAAGTTCATTGGGATTTGCATATAGCTTTATATTCAAGTCTATACTTTTTAACAACAGTGTTTTTGGTTCTCCACACCCACCAGCCCACAATAATATCTTAAACATTCTAATTGAAATGGGTAGACTTAATCCACAAAATTACACATGAAACTTCAACTGCATGTTGAAACTGAAGCTTATATACTCAGTACTGCATTTTGGCATGTGCCAAGTCTATAGAAACATCAGAAAGAGCTATTGGCTGCTTATAAATCTTCACAGGGTAAAACCAGGGATTTGCCAATGAAGCCACTGAAAAAAAAGGGTAGAAAGCTGAAACCACTTTCTTATTCACTTATCCTCACCTCTTCCTAGAGGTCATAGATATAGAGGTACGTATCTAGAAAAATTTGTGTTTCCCAGAGACATTGGGGGCTAAACCTAAGGCTGGGAATCTGCACTCAGCCCCTGATTATGTACTTCTATCCTAGGTTTAAGAGGAAAAGAGATGAATTAGACTGGCTGCCACTTTTAGCAGCAAGCTTAGATATCCCATAGAACATCTAGTCCTTTTCTACAAGGTTCATCACATAGTCTTCAACAAGGTACTTGGGCACTAGATCTAATAGTGGTAGACCCAAACCTGGTCTGCACCAGCTTTCTATAAAGTAATGGTGGATGCTGCTGAATCCTAAAAGTAATCTTGAGTAAGGAAGATTAATTCTCATGCATCCTTACTTGCCTTCAATTAAACTCTTCACCAAATTATTTTCTTTCTAATTTAGTCTTGAAATCTGTTGAGTAGAAAAGTTCCAGCAAGGATTGCCTATAGGAAGGTAAGACTATCAAGCATGGACGTTTTGGTATCTTAGCCCATACACTTCTAAAATTTGCCATCTTCTAATTGAAATGTAGGCTTAGATTGAGATGAAAAGTCTGTCACATCTTGTTTGGCCCTAAAATTACTTCACAAACATGCTGCTATTTTTTTTTCTGAATTCATTGGAAGAGTAGGATACAAATGTAATCTATTATAAAAGTTAGAAATTCTTCATATATCTCTATGTGTATATGTCAGTAGCATTATATTTAATACTTAATTCTATAATTTATTAATTCTATAAATATTCCCCAAAGTTTTACAAAATGTGTTGGTATTTTACTAGTAATTATTGCTTGAGTTCTTTCTCTTTATATAAATTAAATCTGAAAGTCCTTTGAACATCAGTTATAGATAAGGTTGTCTAGGAACCTCTGTCATCAGAGACTGATTCTGCCAAAATTTCTTTTTCATCAGGATACTCCCTGGATCACTGGGTGTGATTACATTGGACAACTCAAGCGTGTTGTTGCTGTGACAGAAAGAACTATCATCATATGGGATTATAAAACACAAGGGAATGCCCTGGTATGATACCTAGTGATGGATATGTAGTAAACATAAGGACATATGTTTTTAGCAACTCTAGATCATTTGTTAATAAAAAATCAACACTTGCGCAAAGGCATTCAAAAGTATCTTTGCACGGTGTACATTTCAGCTTTCAAGTTGAAAAAAAAATTGATAGAGATTGAGATTATAACCCTTTAGTATGCATGGAATACCTTAATTTCTCTAAATGTTCAATATGAGTGGAAAACTGTGTATTGTATTGCAGCACAGTGTTGATATTGAAGATGGTTCTTATTGAAAAAGTTGAGATTTTCCCCATTTCTCATTATGTGTAACAAATAAAATTGTCTTCAAGTCAAGCTGAACTCCAAGTATCTGCTTGGTAGCTATACAGAAGTGGCTTTCCATTTTCTCCTTCTGGGGTTGCTTTTTTTTAACTTCTCACTCTAGGTTATAATCCTGGGAATCCCTGGAGATCTTCAGTTTAAATACCAATCAGGTCTAACCTTGTTTAGCTTTTGTGCCCAGACATGATCTGCCATCCACTAAAGCCTCCTTTGTGTAGATTCAGTAGTGTTGTGATGTGATCAAGTTACTCATTTTACTATTCCTACCGTACACTGTTGATTACTACTAATGGCATTTGGGTTATACATTACAGAACAGAGTTAGAGATGAACACTGGGATGTCCTTTTGGACCTAAATAATTCATTGCACCTTCCTTCTGTTTTATCAGCTCAGACTAGAATTAGCCTCATATCCCATTCACCTTTAGACTACTATATTTCACCCACATGGTGCTGCTATAGCTCAAAAACTATTTGGTTCAAAATACATCTGCCATGCTTTTGACTGAAGCCAATTATACTGATTATTTTACATCAGGCTTGTCTTTTTAAGGTAGCTGTTATTAAGTCCAATATACACATTTTAATTCCATTAGTATCTCATCTTTTCAGTACAAGTACTGTTTTAATTATTGTGTGTTAATTGTTTTCAGTTGTAAATCATAGTATTATTTTAGGATTGTTTCTTATCATGAAAAATTGGGTGAGAAAATTCATTAATAAAAGAAAGAAAATGTTTTATCAAAGGAACTACTGGATACAGTCTGCAAGAACCTACTGTTCACCAAGTCTCACTATTGATCCATAGAGCATATTGGAGTAGTCTTCATATACAGGATACACTTTACCACTATAGATTTAAAATATTTTTATTGCAAATTCTGCTGGAAGCACTTTGGAGCATTCTGTTCCCACTAGACTTTGCAGCAGGACACATGGTAGTATCACACAAAATTTACTAGCATTTATCTTTTCCCTATAAAAAGTCTGCAAAACTTATTTCCAAAAAAAGATAGACTACTGAAAGTTGCACACAAGTAGCAGTAAAGTTCTATAAATTAGAGGAAGAAGTGTAGAATATTTTTAAAGATAAAAAAGCAAATCTTTTTTTAAAAACTTCATTTTTAATCCATAGGAAAAAAGCCGGAAGAAAATATTGTCCAGCTATCACAGCAGGACTTTTAGCAAGTCATATATTTCTGTTAAGTTTGTAGCCTATTGTTTAAACGTGTACATCTCCAGTGTATTCTTTTTAATTATATCAGCTCTGTACTATTTATTTATTAGCTTTATAACCATTATTTCTCCCCAAAGTTGTAGGAATTTTCAGTTATAAGAACTCCCTTGAGAGAACTATACAATGTTCACAGTTCACAGAGAAAAGTAATGAGTATTGATATAGATATCATTACAAAGTAAATAGGAGTGAAACTGAGCCAAGAGCGCTGTCTCTGAAACATCTTCTAATGTCTTTTTAAGAAGAGTTCTGAAACCAATGACTGTTTTCAGTGACCTAATAAGATAAATACTGCAGTCTATAATAAATGTTTGATTGTTTCCATAGGATAACTGCTTTATAATCAAACCCATGGAACATTGCCTCCTCACTGTTTCTGCCATTCCTCGCCCATCAGAACTGCTAATGAAGGATGACATCTTACTGGGGGATGATGGTGGATATGTCACTTTGTTTACAATGACCAGTGATGACTTTGGTCTCAAACAAACTAAATCTAAAAAGAATTTGCAAATAGTGATTTTAGATTCTAGGAAATTCAAAAGGTAAGTCCATCTGCTTTGAAAATTCTCATTTTTGAAACTTTTAATTTCAAAATTATAATTTTAATTTTAAAGCGATGTTGTGAAAGAAAGTAACTATGCCTAATATATACTGTATAGAGAAATAAGTTGGAATTTTCAAGATAAATGTTCTGCTTCAAATATTAAATTTTAAAATGCTTATAGTTAGGGTTTCAACTAGTCAGCAGTGCTATTTCTAAGAATATTCTATTCTCCTTCCTTGTGGTTTTCAGTTTTCTTATTTCTTCCTGTAAGGTGTTAACATGATGATCTAAATTCAGTATTACTCTATATGACCCTCCTATCCATCACCAGCTAAGTATTCCAGCTTTGATAATTGATCTGAGGGTTTTTCTTCTTAAAACAAATAAAGTATAGAATATAAGAGCCATTCTGGATCCGGTCCAGCACATCTGGGAAGCTCAGAAGTAAGACATGAGGGGGCTAGCCTTTTTTATTATTTCTCTCAAACAACTGGAAATTAAGGATGTTGCCTTTGTGGCATTGAGATAATATAAACCATCATGACTATTGATCGCCCTATTCTCCAAGTATTTGTCTAGTTCCCCTTTAAATTCCATAAATTGTTGGGAAATCCCACATTTAGTGGCAATGAATTCCATAGCTTAAATCCTTAAGTAACCCACACTGCCACTGTAGTGGACAAGCTTTTTCTATGTAAAAAGAGGGGAGCAAGAAAACATACTCATGAAAAAGCTGTAAAGGTTATCTAGCTAATACTAATACTAATGATTTGTGAGAAAGCATCTGGAAATATGGCATATGTGAAGAACTATTGAATGCATTTCTGAATGCATAGCATATTTAGTAGAAATGTAGTTTAAAATGTCTATTAAAGAAAAAAAAAAGATGCTATATGGCACATACCACCACCATTTCCATACCCCAATATCTCAAAAGCAATATGAAAATGTAATAGTTTTCACTGAAATTTGGTGAGATGATACTCACAATTGGCTCATAGCTGTGGAAGGAGAATGTTTATTCAAAAGAAATAGATACAGTAGAAAGACTGGGGTATTTCACTGCATGTAAAGAAAAAAATATACACAGAGAAATTCAGGAACTGAAACACAGAAATCCTATGAAAGTGTTTCGGTAAGAATGAAAGGAAAGAGAAAGAAAAGGGATACTTTCAGAGTTCATTATAGATTACCTAGTCGGGAAAAGATAGTGATGAGGCCTCATCTGCTGGGAATCTGATAAAACTCAGGGGTCCAACAAATTCTTTGGTTGGTAACTTAATTTGTCAGAAGATGGGACAAAGATGAGGTCTGCTGTCCTAGACCTAATTCTCACTAGCAGGGAGGAATTGATGGAAGAATTGAAGGCGATCAATTACCTTGGAGTAATTGATCATGTTAACATTGAATTTGTGATATCTAGAGGAGGAGGAGCTCCTAAAGGAGAAAGGTATCTACTGTAGGAAGGATAGAAAATCCTATGACATGAAATACTGAAGATACAGTTGCAAACCATCCCCACCAGGAGGAAAACTGGAAGAAATGTAAAAATACTAACATGGATCTGTGCAGAACTTTCCAAAATGCTGAAGATAAAAAAATATATATTTGCAAGAAATAGGAGGAGAACATAACCAAAGAATAATACAAGATAATCTCCAGAAACTGTAGAGTCAGAAAGACTGAGGATCAGAATGAACTGAGGCTTGCAAGAGATACCCAAATCAACAAAAGAGGATTCTTTGGATATATTATAAATAAAAGGAAAGCCAAAGAGGATGTTGGTCCATTGCAAGGAGACAGTAGCAGATTGGTAATGGAGTGGTGAGAAGGCAAAATTTCTTAAGATCTATTTTGCATCAGTCATCTCAGAAGGGAAATGAAGTCCTAGCTGGTCATCATTATCCTATAATAGGAATGAAGGAATTGCAGCTTAGGATAGGCAGGGAGAGGGCAACAGAAAACTTAGCTAATTTAAATAAATTCAATTCTCCAAAGCCAGATGAATTCATCTCAGACCTAAAGGAATTAGCATGGCTGATTGCAAAACCATTCTCAATAATTTTTGAGAACTCCCAGAGCATAGGAAAAGTCCCAGATGACTGAAGATTGAATGTCATCTTCATCTTCAAAAAAGAAAGAGGACCCTGGAAACTACAGACCTGTTTGCTTGATTTCTGTAGTGGACAAGGTCTTCTATATTATCAAGCAGCATGTTTTTGAGCACTTGCTAAAAATAACTGAAGCGAGCACAGGTTTGTTGCAAACAAATCATACCAGACTAATTTTGTCTTCTTCTTTGATAGAGTTACTAGCTTAGTAAATTGGGGAATGCCATAGATACAGTATAGAATTTCTGGATCTCAACAGTCTTCTGGAACATGGTGGTTATTAATTGTCCTCTAGAGGAAGTCCCTGATACTGGTTCCTGAGTTCCATTGGCACTAAGTGCCTCCTGATCCTCTTGTTTCTTTGGATCACAGTCTTCCATGTGCCTGTGTCTGCTAAATGGTTTTTTCCCTGTTCTTTGACATTCCTTTCACTTCTCTACTCCTTCTGGATAACTTCAGCTGTCTTATTCTCCTCCTTATTCTCCTCCTTATCCTTCCCTGAGAATTCCTTTGCTTGCACTTTTAACAAGTGTACCTGAGTAGGAAGACAAATTTTGCTTCCCTTGCTGTCCATGTTGCTTGGAGTTTCCCTGCCCATTCCCCTAACAAAACGTCCAGATAAATCTTCCCTACTTGCTTGTTCTAGGTGCAAGCTCCCAGAATTTCTTTTCCCCTGGGTTGCAAGTAGCCTGAACTGAAAGAAGATTGGAAAAAAAGGAAACGGAAGACAAAGAAAGGGCCATATATCTCTATCTATATTGATATCAATATATAACCTTTCCCTTGAGCTCTGCTACCCAACTCCTGTTTTCTTTCCTGTTTGTTCAGACAGCAATAGATTTACAGTTGACGACCATACCCAAATAATATTCATTAATGGCTCCACTTCAGCTTGATGGAAGAAAGAACATTTTTCTCAATGACTGGGATGAGGGAAGTTGAAGTGACACTCTAACATTTGGCATAGTACATGTGAAAAAGATCTAGGTGCCCTTGCTCACCATCACGACCCCCCAAATGATCCAGCAGTGTGATGCAGCTGCTAAAAAACAAATGCTGGGTCCAAGTCACAGAAAGTAATTGTTCCATTCTACTCTGCCCTGGTCAAACACCACTTGGAATATTGTGTCAGTCCTGGGCACCACATTTCAAAAAGGACAATGACAAATTGGAGGGTTCAAAGGAGGGTTACTAAGGTGGGTAAGAGTTCTGAAACCAAGCCCTTTGAGGACCATTGCACGCAACATTACATTCATTTTCTGATGCATATGTAGATGTGTCTTTTAAATTAGAGTTTTGTTTTATCACCTCTAGCATTAAACGCAAACTGCATGATGACTGGGTTGTAAAAGTAAAATACATTCCAGCTTTGAATTGTTTTGGTTCCTGCTCACTGGATAGCAATCATTCACTGGTTTTGGATGACCTGAAAAGACTTGAAGACAATGTGTAAGTTTGTTTGTTTGTTTGTTTTTTTATAAGGCCGCCCAGCTCAACCAGTGTGACTCCTGAAAAAATGAATGTTAGTTATCCAAAACCTGGCAAAGAGATTGTTCATATAACTGATCATTTTACAAAGTAGTGTTTAAAGGGCACACTAGAACCTTCAGTTCTGATTTGTTTCATGCCAAATGTTTAAAAAACGGACACACAGACACATACATACATCTATGGGATATTTCCCTTCTGCTCACTATAACTCTGCTTATGTTGTCTGGTAAGATTGAAGACTTAACTTTTCATTTCAAAAATCATGCAGTTGATGTTGTTGGTTGTGCCTTTGACAGAAATTGGAGTCCTAGCACAAAGTCTTCTATAGACTTAGATTGTGAAATCAGTTTCCCAGGACTCCCATCATATATCTATGAATCTATGGATTCAGACAAGAATCACTTATTTATTTATTTATTTATTTATTTATTCAATTTATATGGCCACCCATCTCAGATAAGTGACTCTGGGTGGTGAACAATCATAAAATCAATTAAAAACAAATTACAAACACAATACAAAAGAAAATTAAATACATACAGCAGCCGAGAAAATTATAATCCATGCATAACATAACCAGGAAATGGGGCCCTTAACACACTTGGGTCCCAGGCCCGAGCACATAATCAGGCCTTCAAGGCCTTATGAAAGGCCAACAAGGTTGGGGCCACCCTAATCTCTGGAGGGAGAATGTTCTAGAGGGCAGATGCTATGGCAGAAAAGGCACGCTTCCTAGTCCCCCCAGCCGACATTTCTTGGTGACAGGACTTGGAGCAGCCCCATCCTGCCAGACCGGATTGGATGGGTAGAAACAACTGGGAGAAGACAGTCCTTCAGGTCACCCACTCCCAAGCCATGAAGGGCTTTAAATTGAATTGCACCCAGAAATACATTGGAAACCAATGCAGTTCATGAAGCAGTGGTGTTATATGTGCCGAGTACCCAACGCCATTTACTACCCATGCAACCGCATTCTGCACCAGCTGAAGCTTCCAAATGTTGTTCAAGGGTAGCCCCATGTAGAGCATGTTGCAGTAATCCAGACGGGAGGTCACAAGGGCATGAGTTACAGTGAACAGAGCCTCCCAGTCCAGAAATGGGCGCAACTGGCAAAGGCCCTCTTAGCCACAGCTTCCACCTGCTCTTCCAGCAGGAGCCATGAGTCCAAGAAGACCCCCAGATTGTGCACCAGGTCTACCTGGAGCAGTGCCATCCCATCTAGGACCAAGGGTGGAAAAGCTTTGACACCAGAAGGCCCAAGTATCCAAAGTCACTCAGTCTTGCTTGAGTTAAGCCAAAGCCCATTGTGCCCCATCCAGGCCCCTATAGCCTCCAGACACTGGGACAGGACATCCATGGCATTGCTCAGGCAGCCCAGGGTGGAGATATAAAGCTGGGTATTATCAGCATATGATGATACCTCACTCCAAACCATCGGATCACCTCACCCAGTGGCCTCATGTAGATTTTAAATAAGAGGGAAGAGAGGACCAAGCCCTGTGGCACCCCACAAAGTAGGGGCTGCGGGCCGGACCTCTACCCCCTATCAACACTGACTCAAACTGACCCTGGAGGAAGTAGGAGAACCAGCACAGTATCGCCCACCCCCAACTCCTGAAGCCGGTCCAGAAGGATATCATGATTGATGGTACTGAAGGCTGCTGAGAAGTCAAGAAGAGCAAGGATGGATGCACTACCCCCATCTATCTCCCGCCAGAGGTTATCCAAGATCATGATCAATGCCATCTCAGTCCCATACCCCGGCCTGAATCCTGACTGAAAGGGGTTCAGAAACTAATATCTCCCCCAAATCCAGAACAGCCTACCACTGCTCTGACAGAAAAACCAGGTCAGGCATATGACCACTATTATGTGTCAGGCCCTGGATGACTTGGGACAGACCCATAGCTGTCATGGTGGCCATGAACTCCTGAGCTACCTCAGACCCAACCCCAAGAGAAGGCAAGTTGACCACTGCCAAACCACCAACCCTACCCTGGGTCCTTGGCTGGTGCCACACCCGGAATCCAGCTGGGCACATCTGAGAAAGGAGAACCTCTCCTTCCTGTCCCAACCAGATACATGCCAGGTCAGCCTTCTTATTGACAATCCAGTCACAAATGAGAGTGGCCTTATTGCAAACTGACCTGGTGTTCAGCAGCAGCAGCCGACAACCCAGAGCCTTACATGTTTATAATGTAAAGATGTAATACTTACGCGTTTGCATGATCAAATGTTTTGTTATAATTATAGGCCTGTCAGGGATTTTTCAGTACCAAGGGGAGTTAATGCTTTCACGTATTGTGGAAAAGCTAATATTGTTGTTACAGGAGGTAAGTAAGCTACATTCATCTAAAAGTCATTGTGATTGTCTTGAATGCTTCTTAGTTGCAAAATGTTCATTTATTACAGGTAATTCTTCCTATTTGTAAGAGAATCAAAATCTGTAAGGCCCATTCTATTATTATTATTATTATTATTATTATTATTATTATTATTATTATATACACAACAACATAAAATCACAGCTGCCAGTTCTTTAGCTGACATTGGCCTTCATTCACATCAAGTTCTTCCCAAGAAGCTAGGATGCCATAATGTATTGGTGTAATATATGTGTGGATCCAAGCAATGTGGCCTTTTGTAATTGACAGATGGAAATTTTGTCAATACACAGATTTTCTAAGTGCCATCCAAGGTTTTTTGGTATGGCACCCAGTGTACCGATAACCACTGGGACCACTTGTGCCTGTTTATGCCATAATTATTATTATGGTTGGTATTATTATTATTATTATTATTATTATTATTATTATTAAGATTTAGAGGCCACTTGACACCAGAATGATTCTGGATGGTTTACAATTAAAAAACAGAAAAACCAATAAAGAGACAGTCTGAAGCATCCAGACAATCCCATCCATACACCAAAAAACACCACTGATGGGGCTCCCTACCCCAAGGCCTGGGAAATCAGCTTGTGTAAAGATTTCCAGAACATCATCAGGGTGGGAGTTACATAGACCTCTGGGGTGATATCATTCCAGAGGGAAGGCACTGTAACACAGAACCAAGTTAGGTATTATGTAGGAAGTCTAGGACCACTTTTTTCATTTAAACAAATGTACCTGAACTTGAAGTTTTCTCTGAAAGGTAAATAACAGTTTGGCTGCTAGGAGGACATGTTTAGCAAACTCTGAAGCAAGGAAAGGGTAAGCTCAGTCTTGTTGTTGCTGTGAATAAATTGGTGTTAGCCTCTCAGCCTTTTGACTACAATCAAGTGTAATATTGAATAAATTGACGCATTTAATAAAGGGGAGTGGGGAGGAGAGAAAAAAGCCAGGAGACAAGTATAGTTTGATGTGAGCAATTGCTCTACATTAGAAAGTCTCCAAGTGTCTCTGTTTTAATTGAGCCATTAGCTGACTCATTTCGAGTATGTGCTTCTTCCTTGGGAAGCATATATCTATTTGTTACAGATATATCACCCCATTCTGCAGGCAGAACGTTTCTTCTTTGCAGCAAGACATTTTGTACATACAGTATTTTTCTTTAAATCATTCATTCTCTTCCCTTGCCCCAACCTCTGTCTTTACAACATATTAAAACAAGCAAAAATAGCTTCAAAAGATTACAAAGTAATAGTACAATTGATAGCACATTAAATGATTTGGGATGAAAATGGAGGGAAGGCATGTGAGAAGAAATATTTTAAAGATTTTATGGGGATGATTGTGATATTTCAAAGACTAGAATTGAAACAAATTCTATAAATGTTAGCGCCTGAGAAAGAATGATGAAAAAGAAGTAAATACTGTCGAAATGTTGAAAAATGGTCAGGCTGCACAGAGAGATGGGGGAAAAATGTTAAAATATGGGTGTAGTTTGCTTATGGAGGAGCTGGGTGACTAATATAATGTCTGTGTAAACTTTACATATGTGCCTTATGATTGGAAGAATGCTGTTATTTTCTCACTGTGCAAAAGGAAAGGTGACAAGAGTGAACACACAGACTAGAGGCACATTAATTTCTTAAGTGTATCTGGAATGTGTTTAGCAGAATTCTGACTGAAAGGATGCAAGGAATGACAAAGAGCAAAATTTGGAAGTAAATTACAGCTTTAGGCTGGGCAGGAGTTATATAGACCATATTTTTGCCCTTCAGCAAGTCCCTGAGAAATTGCTCCTTGATAAATGTAAGGGACTGCTCAGTTGGTTCTGATTTTTTCCATATTAAAACAGTGTCCCCAATCTGGATGTTCTCCAGAAATATTGTAGAACTCTTCCATCTTGAGACACTATGGCCAATGGTTATGCTAGCTAGTGTAGAAGACAACTGTATAAGGTATATTAGCTAGGGAAAGGCTGCATTAAACACATGAATCAGATGGGCATCCATTTAGTGACTGGGGCCATGTTTAATATCTTTTGGGTCCAAGGGTATCAGTGGGCATGACAGTGATGCAAGCCAGAACTTTATGCTTTTTCCCCCTTTTGGAGGGGGATGGCAATCCCAAATAACAAAAAACATCTGGAATTCAGTAATCCATTTCATAGAGTCATCCTATTGAAACTCAAGTAAATGGCACTTGAGTAACCAATTTCCATTCTTCCTATCCATTTCTGGAACCACAGCCCAACTCAGCCTGTGCCTCCTGCTACCATCTCAGCTAGATTCAACACATTAAAAGACATTTGCTGCTGCTGCTGCTGCTGCTGCTGCTGCT